GCAGCAGCAGCAACTGCAGCAGCAACTGCTGCAGCAACTGAACTGCTGCAGCAGCAACACTAGCTGCAGGAGCAGCATTAGCTGCAGCATCACCAGCTGCAGCAGCAGCAGCACTAGCAGCAGCAGCAGCAGCAGCAGCAGCAGCAGCAGCAGCAAGAGAATTTGTATGATATTTTGTTTACTGGTTGTCTCCCGTCTCCCGGTGTAAAAACAAAAGCAGAAAAAGAAGACAAAGGCAGAGGCAGCAGCTCACGCACAAACGACAGCCTACACACACACACACACCTGCTGCTGCTGCTGCTGCTGCTGCTGCTGCTGTTCTTGTTGCTGCTGCTGCTGCTGCTGATGCTTGTGTTGCTGGTGATGCTGCTGCTGCTGCTGCTGCTGCTGAGAAACGATGAAAAACGTCAACAAGTAGACGGAATAACAAACAACACAACAGCAAGCTGCAGCAGCAGCTGCTGCTGCAGCTGCAACAACAGCAGCAGCAGCAACAGCAGCAGCAGCAGCAGCAGCAGCAGCAAATAGTTTTACATAGCTGCAGTAACGCCCAAGGACTCCGTCAATTCCTTCGCTGCTACGAAGCCACTCCCGCGGGCTGCCTGCAAAGAAACAGCAGCAGCAGCAGCAGCAGCAACAGCAGCAGCAGCAGCAACAGCAGCAGCAACAGTAGCAGCAGCAACAGCAGCAACAGCAGCAGCAGCAAGAAAAACAACACCAGCAGCAATTACAGACGCCACATCACTGCACGGTGGAACTACCCAGCAGCAACAGAAGCAGCAGCAGCAGCAAGAGAAGCAGCAGCAGCAGCTGCAGCAGCAGCAGCAGCAACAGCAGCAGCTGACGATTTGCATGAAGGGTATCTTCTTCTGCTGCCCCTGCAGCAAAGAAAGAAAAGACGAAATATGACGCAGCAGCAAGGGGGTGTCTGCTGCAGCAGCTGCTGCACCTGCTGTTGCTGCTGTTGCTGCTGCTGCTGCTGCTGCACCTGTTGTTGTTGCTGCAGTTGTTGCCGCTGCAGTTGCTGTTGCTGCTGTTGTTGCTGCTGCTGCAGCTGTTGGTGCTGCTGTAGTTGCTTCTGCTGGTGGCCGAGTTGCTGCTACTGCTGTTTCTGCTGCTGTTTCTGCTGCTGCTGTTGCTGCTGCTGCTGCTGCTGCTGCTGCTGTTGGCGGTTCTGTGCTGCTGACAGGAAATATGAAGGCAGCAGCAGCAGCAGCAGTAGCTGCTGCTGCATCGAATGGAGACGATATTATGCAGCAACTGCAGCTGCATCCACTCCTAGCGCTGCTGCTGCTGCTGCTGCTGCTGTTGCTGTTGCTGCTGCTGCTGCTGCTTCTGCTGCTGCTGCTGAGCAGCTGCTGCGGCAAAGGCGGTGAAACCCTCGCCAGGTGTACAGACAGCTTCTTCTCTCCCCTGCATCCGCTAGTAGCGTTGTTAAGGAATTGAATTGCTGCTGCTGCTGCTGCTGCAGCACACGGCAGCCTAGCCCCCTCACCAGCAGCAGCAGCAGCAGCAGCAGCAGCAGCAGCAGGGTGAGCATAGTCTACAAAGCAGTAGCCGTGCTTCCTCTCAAAAGAAGAAACAAAACCAAAACAGCAAAAGACAGATAGCAACGCCTCGTTGCTGCTGCTGCGGCTTAACCCCCGAACTGCAGCAACACAGCAGCAGCAGCAGCAGCAGCAGCAGCAGCAGCAGATGGAGATGCAGCAGCAGCAGCAGCAACAGTTGGATACCTCGGCAGCAGCTAGAAGCAGACTGGTGCAGCAGCAAAACAATACACCTACCGTATAGTTTGTAGCTTTCATGCTGCTGCTGCTGTTGC